GCCAGTTATATATTTATACATTTATTTCCAATAATGATAGGTTTGGTCCTCCATAATACACCATGGTACTAGTGACTTTTCTCACCCTTCCTGTAAAAGTTGACTGAGCTGTCAACTTCATCTGCACAGAAAGCAGTGATGTAGACCCTTCAAGTTGAATTACTTTGGATTAAGAATAATCTGGTAAAGAAAAAAAATCTCTTGTTAAATTGTAAAATCTATGTAGGGTTTGTTCTTCTTTTTCTGTTTCAAAATAAAAAAAGAAAACTGTTTTTAAAACCTAAATGTTAAAATGTAAAATTGAACTAATTAAAATACACAGTGCTTGATTAAAAACACTTTTGTTCATGGTAAAATATTCAGTTTTCAATTAGCTGTGTCAACTCCCTTTAAATAGGACTTTGGTCATTTCTAAAATGCTATGTAAAAATGTAATGCACCAGGAGTTTAGGCCACAGTGGTTTTATTTTTTATTTTTTTTTGGTTCTGCTAGAAAATAACAAATGGTGCACTAACAAAATTTAAAGATTTAAAATAAACAAACTAAAATAAAAATACCCTATTTTTTTCTCATCTTATTTTAAAACACACACAAAAAAAAAAAAAAAAAAAAAAACACAAAGAAAAAAAACATACAGTGGTGCCCAGAGTTACAAGTTTAATTCGTTCTGAGATGGAGCTCTTAACTCAAATAAATTGTATGTCAAATCAGTGGTACCCATAGAAATAAATTGAAATGCCCTTGATCTGTTCCGGACCCCCAACAAACACTGCTATTTTTTGTTACATGTTTTTTTTATATCAGTAAATTTATTATGAATAACAAAAATGGGATAAAAATACCAAACAGAATGTATTTTCTGCAATGAACTACAGTAGTTTTATTAAGTAAGTACACTGTATCTCAAAAAACTCGTTAGTTAGGAAATGCTTAAGTCAAGGTACCACTGTACATGGATTTTGTGAGCATTTTTTTAGACATGAAAAAGAAAACAGGGAAAATGATGTATTCATCTGAATACTATAATACAGGGCTATTCAACTGGTGGCCTGCGGGCCACATCCGGACCGTGGGCCACATCCAGCCCGCGAGTGACCAAAGTTCGGCCCGCCAATTTGTTCAATCATCTCTTCAGCCCAAACCCCCGGTTTTCTACTTTAATTACTCTAAGTTCTTTTAGTTAAACATAGGCATGTTTGGTATCTACAGAAACATCAGAATCTTGGCTGCAAGCTGGTGAAAACAAAATTTCAAAACAAATTACTATAAAACACTCAAGACAGTTAAAACTACAAGTAGTTGAATATAAAACGATGAAAGTTAAAGTAAAATTGGTTAAAAATTTGGCAAGTCAGAGATGTCAAAATATTATTTGTATCAAATATGAGGTATAAAGTGTTCCTTTTGTTTTTGAAAATGTTTAATTATCACTACTTTTATAGGGTTCTGTATGTTGTAATCATGATTAAATTCAGCAAKATAAACTAATTCAAATGTAACAGATCTTTGTAATACTTAGTTTATTTACATAAAAACTTTAATTGCTGGATGWTTGGCCCCTCACCTGTTGACTGGCAGTAACTGTGCCCCCCGGAGCAATTTAGTTGCATAGCCCTGATATAACATCTATCCATCCTACCATTTATCCATTCTCTTTACCCACTTCTCCTTTCTAGGATAGGAAGCTGGTGTGTATTTTCAGCAGTCGCTCTTCAAGAGGCAGGATACACCCTGGACAGCAAGTCAGTTACAGGGACACATAGAGACAAACAACTATTCACGCCTTGTAACAATTTAGAGTTACCAATTAACCTAACATGGATGTTTTTGGGTCGTGGGAGGACAGCAGAGAACCCAGAGAAAACCCACATTTGCACAAAAAGACCATGAAAACTTTGCCCAGAAAAGCCCTAGACAAGAAGACAACCATGCAACCTTCTCACTGAGGGGCAACGTCTAACCACCAAATATCATCAACAGCCAGATCTTACAGATGACCATGTTGTTTTTTTTCTTTGTTTCTTTCTTTTTATCACTAGAAACTAAGAAAATGTTTCAATATTCTATTTATTGAGCAAGACACAGAGTTATCAAGTAGAACAGATTTAGATCAGTGCTTTTGTGCATTACCTCCCCCTCCCTCCCATCTTAATGGCTTAAGGCCATGGATGGCACATCAAACAGTTGCGTCTTACAGAGTCCAACCCCAGCTCCCCCAGCACTGGCTTCAACTTGGCACCAAAATAAGAAGGGCTGGCTTGGCAAAAAGCTACTGCTAGTGCCATGCAAATGCATCTCCAAGTGTGTTGCAAAATTGCAAGAAAATATAGAAGATTGGATGTACCACATAAGCACATACTGTAGCTGCACATAAGGACTAATGGGGCTATGTTGATTCCTTCAAACCACCAGGAAGGAAGAGTTGAAGAGAACAATGAGTGGCAACTAAATAATTTAGAAAGGGGAGCTGGAAGAGGTTTAGAAAGACGTTCAGTGCAATGCATCTACAAAGCTGAATAAAGTTTTAACAGAAATTTTATTTAATTTTGCATTGCTGTGAGATTTAATCAAGTATTTATATGTTTGAAATAATTTAAAACGTGTTGTTGACAACTTAGCATACAGTTTACTTTTGCAACAATTCATTGCTCTACTTGTGACAAGATTCAATGCAGATCATGCAACCAGTCTGAATGAAAAACTGAAGTTCATCATTTGTCCTAAAGTTGATTAAAAAGTTTATTACTATTTTTGTTGTTGTTATAGTTGTACAGACTCTTGCAAAGCACTGACCTGTGGCCTCATGTACAAAGACTTGTGTGGATTTCTTACTGAAACGTGGTGTATGGTCAAATCCAGAAAACGGCGTACGCACAAAAAAATCCAGATGTATCAAACTGCGTACGCCTGAATCCATGCACATTTCTTTTGTACATCCCAATTAACGTGGAACTGAGTGCACGTGAGACACCTCCCCGACACGCCTTCATTAACATATGTTAAAAGGATGCAAATTACTTCCCGCATGTGTGAAATGTTTGTTTGATKCCTGCGTGATCAGAAATGGTTTCTAGAATCAGGAAAATCATTAGTTAAATATAATAAGAATGAGAAAAAATCCTAAGTAAGAGTAAGAGTAAAGTATGTTTATCACGCAAAGAATGAGTGATTGTGTGTGTGTGTGTGTGTGTGTGTGTGTGTGTGTGTGTGTGTGTG